TTTTATTTTTTATTTTTTTTATTTTTTTAATTGGACCAAATAAAAAAAATAAAAAAAAATACAAATAAAATTTAAAATAAATTAAAATAATTTTAAAAAAATGAAAAATAAAAAATAAAAATCCACGTGTCCGCCAGGTCAGCGACACCTGGCGGACACGTCACCTCCGGCGAGCCACGCGGGCATCTCCGCCGCCGGAGGACTAAAACAGCGAAAATTTTTCACTTATGGGACTAGTTTGCGACAGGCTCCACTTACGGGACTAAAATGATAAGGAGGTCCAATTACGGGACTAAAAAAACAGTTTACTCGTGTATATATATATATATATATATTTCATATGTATTTTATAGACTTCAATTTGATATTATTTTTATTTTTCCTTCCAAATATATTATTTGTTGATTGCAGTTGCATTTTAAAAATCTCGATCTGAAAAGTCATGGTCTTAGGTTCTTATATTTGCATATTACAATTTTCTTATCATTTTTCGACTTTTGAACCTTAAAATTAAAAGAATTATTAAAATGTTTCGTAGCAATCATTCATATGTATATATATATGATTCATTTATCTATACAAATTTATTTATATTTCCTTTTTATATAACTTCTTTTTTTAAAAAAAAAAATAAGTTCTGATTAATTTTAATTTTAAATAAAATTATATTGAAAAAATTCGTGCATTTGAACTCATGAATAATTTTGAATTTGAACATAATTTAGTACCCAAAATATTGACAAGTAGCTAGTTGGCTATATACATATATTAAAAAAAAGTAAAAGTGTGGTAGTGGTTTAAAACTGAATCACGAATGGACCACCAGCACCATTTGTTGTTTGATTTTGTAATGATGATACAAAAATAAATTTTTTAAAAAAAAGTAGTAGTGTTGTAGTACTTACTTGTACGTCCCCAATTCAAAATTAAAACTTTTTGCCATTGCTAAAACAAACAAACAAGGCAAGCATTAATTACCACTCATATTTACATGATGTCGCATTAGCGATTTTGTCCTGACTATAATTCTATCTGTCCAGTGAAACTTTAGAGTAAGTGCAATGGTGAGTTCGTCGTATTAGGACATATACAATGCAATGTTCTTCAATTTTGGAGAACGTGATCATCTTATGTGGCCAAGCCACATGGGAAATAAAAATAAATAATAAAAAAATAAAAAATACAGGAACTATTCTTTTGAAGAACAACAAAAAAATGTACGCCAGCGTGACCGCGAGGTCATTGGTTCAAACCTCTCATGCCTCAAGTCACCTGCTACACATGGGGATGTCAAATGGGACGGGTTAGCCCTGAATCCACCTCGGATCCGCTCTTAATAGGGCGGGTTCGGGTCTAAATAATATATTTTGGGGCGGATTGTGGATTTAAAATTTTAAACCTGGCCGGATTCGGGGCGGGTTACGAGTTTTACTAATAATCCGCCACAACCCGAATCCGGATATTTTTTAAAATTATTATAACTAATATATATGTACATTTATATAATAAAAATATATTATTTATTTACTTAAATAATTTTAAATATAAAATTCAAATTAGTAGTCTGCTCCAAATAATTTTTTAAAATTATTATACCTTTTTATATATGTATATTTATATAATAAAAATATATTATTTATTTACCTATCTTATTTTTATGGATCAATATTTGATTATTTTTAGATTTTTTTTGTGCTTTTAATGCTATTTGTTTTAGTATTCGATTGTTAAAAAAATATTTATTATTATATATTTTTTAAAAAAACGAGGTTGCTGGGTTGGCCCTGAACCTGGAGGGTTCGGGGCGGGGCGGGTCCTGGGGCCGGGTGGAAGCGGGGCGGGGCGGGTCTCGGGCCTGCAGAACTCGTCTCAAACCCGCCCCGTTGACATCCCTAGCCACACATACATGGTTCGTCTAATTTATCTGTCGAGCCCCGGGTCTAATTTACAAGGTATTAGATAAAGTATTACAATTTTTATTATATAATTTTTTTATTAAATAAAATAAATGTATTGATACGAGGAAAAAAGGAATTCATGTTTACAATGTAAGTAAAAAATTAGATAAATTCTTATTGATCTCTTAATATGATGTGGCAGGATGCAACGGAAAGAAAAGACTTGGAGAAAACAAAAATAATTTCTTCATTGAATATGATTTTAGAATAACACATCCCTATCTCATGTGAATTTACATATAAGTAAAATAAAAATTAAAATAATTAAAAAAGATAAGAATTTTTTGCAAGAAGTGCTTTATACAAATATCTTTGTTATATTATTATATCATTATTTTTATTAAAAAAATAAGGTAAAATTATTTTAACACTATTTTTTAATTATTTATTATAATTAAAATAATATAATTTTATATTATTATTATATCATTATTTTTATTAAAAAAATAAGATAAAATTATTTTTACATTATTTTTAATTATTTATTGCAATTAAAATAGTTTCATAAATTCTAAGTAAAAAATAAATATATACTTACTATTAATTGAATGGAAAAAATAATTTATTTATATTATGCATTGAATATATTATATTTTAATAAATTAATAAAATGATGTAGCAAGCAAAAATTATTGGGAAACGTGAATACGAGTTTTGGCACTGTAATGGTCTTTAAAGACTTAAAGAATACACATAGCATTAGCATAGAAATAATTAAAATCTGATTAAAAAATAAATAAATAAATAACACTTCCACAAAAAATACTTTTTCTGTCTCATTTCAATGGTCACATTTTCCTTTTTCTTTTTTTTTCCTTTTTTTTCTTTTTTTTTGTCCCACTTTACTTCAATTTACACGATTATATTTTTAGTAAAATTTACTAAATATATTCATATTTAATAAATATAAATTAATTTAATTAACTTAATAACATGTAACATAATACATAATGTAAAACTCACTCAAGGCTCCTCTATTTATATCTCTCCTCAATAAATAAATAATTTATAACTTTAAAACATGTACTTTTTATATAATTAGTTTTATCTTAATTATAAATAAATAAATAAATATTTTTTTATTTATATTATTTAAAATTTTATTATCTACAAAATGATATTTATATTGCATATATTTTATTGAGATATAATATTTAAAATATTAAAACATATATTTTAAATTTATTTTAATCATATATATTCAAACTACTAATAATATTACTCATAGATAAATATAATAAAATAATATTATAATACAATATTATTAATTAATTAAACCTATTTACCTTAAATACAGTATCTCAAAAATCAAATGTACCGTGAAATGGAGGGATTATATATATATATATACATACATATATAGATAGAGCATTACATCATTTACATGTGCTGAATTATTTTTTACGTCACGCTTTATCCACCGCCAAAATGGTTACGGAGGTTAGGCCGGCAGATTGCCTATTAATTGTTTAGCTTGCTTTGGTTGACTGATACTATTTGTTAACTTTGTTCATTCTGCATAATTATATCAACTAATCAAGCAAGATAACTAGTCCCGTAAGGGATGACCTGGTAGTGATGTAGGGGTTAACTTGTGAATTTCAAGTCACCTGTCACATATGATTCGCTTAGTGTGATTTTTCCGCCGGACCTGATTTGCAGGGTATTAGGTTTGACCGAAGGTTTACTAGAAAAAAAAAAAAAAAAAAAATCAAACAAGATAACTGAAGATATGGAAATTATATCAAATTCATCTAGTTTTTAATAATAAGCTACACATAAATTATTTATTTATGTATGCATGTATACAATGTTCCTTTCATTTTCAATTTAGTGTAGCAGAACAATTTAATAATTATTGAACATGGGGTGTCCGTCCATGCTCCAATTATTTAAATTATAGCAGCATGCATATTTTGTTACGCATTGCATTGCAACTAAGTTTGCATATGGCCTCAGCCACCACTGATTGACTGACTCGGACTCCGATAGACTCCTATCTATATTAAATTAATATTTTAATTAATATATTCCATCAAAATAGTAGTATTTGGCAATGGCACTGTGCACATGACATGATCTGATTTTTGTCCTTTATTGATATTTGGTACTCGCCACACACTACGAACCAACACGCTTTTTGTTACTATATGTAACTTTTACATTGTCACTAGCGATTTTTACCATTTTTTTTTTTTTTAATTAGCGTTTCCAGCTTTATATTCGAACCTAGTGGCAGGCTACCAGGTACCGATTTTAAAAATAAAATTCTGTACTATTAAAAGTTACTGGTGGTTTATTCGATGAACTAATAAAATTAATTTTAGTTAAGTCTGACGTGGTCCGGTCCGGTCCAGTCCGTGGAAAATTCAACAGTAGTGCCGGCGAGCTACGGCCTACAGGCACGTGCCCATACAGCATCGGCTCTGTACGGCGCTGCCATGTTTCTTTGATTAATTTATTGACAAAAGCAAGTTGTGAGAGAGAAGAGAAGAGAGGAGACACCATTAAATAAAATATCATTGTGATGTTTATAAACAAATTGGCAAAGTCTAGAAGCAGAGCCATGCCAGTCAGCCTTGGCAGAAAACACTAGTGTTACTGTCGGTAACTTTAGCAGCCTTGAGTGCGTGTATCTTTTTTTTACTGTATTGTGTCGCTGAGTAGTGAGTGTGCGTCTCCCTTTGACTTGCTGCCAAAAGGATATCTGGCGGTGCCAAGATTATGGCCAATTATTATGGGACAACTGCATGTCAATGGATTGAAACATAATCTTGCAATTATGTGTGATTTCAGTTATTTTTTTTAAAAAACAAAAACTATTGAAAAAGTCAATTGATTGATTATTAATTTTGTAAAATCAAAACGTTGTGTTTTAATGTCATTTTAATTGTTTTTATGAAATACGAATGAATGTATTTATATCGTAGCAAATTTGAAAAAAATTTGGTGGTTGTAAGTGGATAGCGTTTGGTGCATTTGCGTTTGAAAATTACATGCGAAGCTTTGTATATAAATACCCGTTTTCCGTCTCTGGCGCTCACTTATTTCAAGTTTTCTTCTCTACTCTTCTCCGAGGAGCCTCGTGCTTCGTGCCCACTGCATTTTCTCTTTCTCTCTGTTTCTCAACTAACAGTAACAAATAGAATTTCATTACTTCAATACTCCTCGCCCACCTCACTGCTAACTCCCTCTATTGCTCGTTATTACTCGCTCCTACTCACATAACTCGTGCCACCACTTCCTCTGCCGGAAATAATGGTTATAAGGCACGGTGGAGTAGGAGGCGGTGGATTTCTAGCGGGAAGGCAAGTGGTTCCGGTGAACTACGAAGCGGATGTATCGCAGCGGCTCATTGACGCCTCACTTTGTAATGATTTGAATTCGGTTACCGAATGCCTCTCCGATCCGTTCGTCGATGTGAACTATGTCGGCGCTGTGTACTTGAAGATTCGTAGGACCTCTATCGTTTTGCGAGAGGAGTCGCCTAGCGAAGTGCGCGTCGACTACGACGAGTTTCGCACTGATGTTACGGCGTTGTTTGTTGCTGTTGCTAATGATAACCTGGCGCTCGTGAGAAAATTACTGGTAAGTTCCCTTTTAGCTTTAGTGCTCTAGCATATTTATAAAGATCTCTCGTTGTTGAGAACGGAAACTTATCTCCGATATCATTATTTTGTGTTCTGTGTTTTATGGATTTTCGCCGGACTATGATAGTGTTAACTACATTTCGGATAATCAAAATATCGATCTTAACTAATGTGATGTGTTTCAGTGATAGTTGGTGGTGCAAATTTTGAATATCTTGTTTAATCTATACAATATTCATCCCTTGCTAGTCAGATTTCCTGCTATATTTTGTATTTGCTTCATGAGTTTATGAGTTCACTTATTTTGAGTTGAAAATCAAACAAGTATTCTCAAATCTCAAGTCATTAGAAACTCGTGTCTTACACGATATGTAAAATGTGATCTTATTTTGTTCATGTACTATATTTTTTGAGTTCTAGAGTCATTTTTCTTGAGATTGTACAGTTGCTTGGATGATACGTTTTATAGTCCGATTTTCAACATTCACCTGAGATTGATTTTAACTTAGGCTGAGCTGACTTTAATCCATCGTTTGAAATAGCATGACCCACGCACGGTTGCCGTTATTTATTCAGTTCAGAGCCATAGATAGATCTTTCTAGTTGAGCACATGTATTCATCTCATAGGATATGCATACGCAGATAAATTCTGGAACTTTTCAACAGTAATCTCTAATTAAGGGAAATCTATAGAGAAAGTATGTGATCTGTGATCTATGAGTTCATAACTCTATTCCCTACTGGTAGAATAGATTCCTTCCGGTGGATTAACCAAGACGTTCCATGTTCTTTGGATTAATCATTTTGAGACTGTTCTATGAAATTGTTGGTGGTGTTGAAAAACAGAAGAAAAAAAAAAAAAAAGGAAAAAGGTTTCACAGTGTTGGTGCACAGCAGGTGTTTCAATTTCTTTGACAAAGATTTTTTGGTGATTCATGATACTCACAATGAGTGCTTTGTCCATTAAAATAAGTTTTAACTACTTTTCTCGTTATAATAAATTTCCCCCACCGCCCTAATGTACGACATTAGGATGGGACACCAAATTCCATATTTTTATGACGATACTTACAATGAGTGTTTTATCAATCAAAATAAAAGTTTTAATGATTTTCCTCGTGATAATAAAATTCCCCCATCACCCTAATGTACGACATTAGGATGGGACACCAAATCCTATATTTTTGTGATATTATTATGTGTAGATGCTAGGTCATGACGTTCATGCATTGAAGCTTAGATCTTAGTTTTTTATTTTCAATTGTTTTTGTTGGAACGTGAAACTTAAAATATATATTAACGCATATTTATAGTGTGATACAAATCATTTAAATAAGTTTAGAATAGTAATAATTATCTGTATCTTTTATTGTATAGAATTATAACAATTTTTTGAATCATTTTATTGTATATGAATTGCTATGTACCTTAATTTTACATGTCAAGCTATTAGTTGATGGTGCACTAGCATAAGCCATAAGTTTGTTCCCGAGGTTTGTGACAATCGGTTTTATTCTTTCAAATTAGATGCACTACCTGAACTAATCCACAGTAACTTTTATATGCAATCTGTTCATGTCTATGTTTTTCCCACAATGGCAGTGTGCTGGAGCTGATGTCAACCTACAATTGTTTCGGGGTTTTGTGACTGCAGCAGCTGCCAGGGAAGGCAACCATGAGATCATGGAGATCCTACTCAAGGCCGGGGCATCCCAACTGGCTTGTGAGGAAGCATTGTCCGAGGCCTGCAACCATGGGAACTCGAGCTTAATAGAGCTACTTATTGGATCTGATCTTATCAGGCCACGTGTTGCTGTTCATGCCCTTGTCACAGCATGCTGTAGAGGCTTTGTTGATGTGGTGGACACCCTAATGAAGGTACGGCTATGAACCATGCTTAGAATTCTTAAAAGATGCATGTATGCTGTAAGGTTAAAGAAAACCCAATAAGTATTAATAATGTGCTGAAGATATAGTTGTTTCATTTTGTTTTCGTCAAGGCTCATTGGCCAATTTTATCATTAAGTTTGCCACTAAATTGCAGTGCGGAGTGGATGCCAATGCAGCTGATCGCATTTTGCTTCAATCTTATAAACCTTCTCTGCATACAAATGCTGACTGTACTGCACTTGTGGCTGCTATTATCAGTAGGCAGATCTCTGTTGTCCAGTTATTACTTGAGGTAGATAAACTGATCTTTCTTTTTTTGTTTGTTTTTTTTTTCAAGTCCGCAGTATAGTATGGATTCTTTTTCTTGAGTACATCAGCTTCAATAACTTCAACTATTTCTTTTTCATTAATTCTAGGCTGGTGTCAGAACTGATATCAAAGTGCAACTTGGGGCATGGTCATGGGATACGGCTACAGGCGAGGAATTGCGGGTGGGCGCAGGGCTGGGCGAGCCTTATCCAATCACTTGGTGTGCTGTGGAATATTTTGAAGCGACTGGCTCTATTCTGCAGATGCTCCTTCAACACATTTCCCCCAACGTTCCTCATTTTGGAAGAACTCTTCTCCATCATGCTATTCTCTGCAACAGTGGAGGTGCCGTGGAAGTTCTTCTAAAATCTGGTGCTGAAATAGAAGCACCCGTCAAAACCACCCGAAGGAGTGATACTCGACCTATTCATATCGCAGCACGCCTCGGATCGTCAAAAATACTTCAAACTCTGATTGACTACGGCTGTGACATCAACTCCACAACAGCCACTGGCGACACAGCTCTAATCATCTCTGCAAGATACAAGCACGATGATTGCATCCATGTCCTGGCAAAAGCAGGCGCTGACTTCGGCATGGTCAACAAAGCTGGTCAATCCGCAAGCTCCACCGCTCGCTCCAGTCAATGGCACCTCGGTTTCCAGCAAGCTCTGCTCCATGTAATTCGAGGTGGAACCGTACCCATCTCCTCCAACGCCTCTGTCTTTTCGCCTCTTCTATTCGTCGCCCAATCTGGCGACGTCACGTGCCTGAAAGCTCTGATTGGCCGTGCAGACATCAACATAAACATCAACCAGCAGGACGAGAAAGGTTTCTCCGCCGCCATGTTCGCCGCAATTGAGGGCCATGTTGATGCTTTCCGTTTGCTTGTCTATGCTGGGGCTGATGTCAAGCTATGCAACAAATCAGGCGAAACTGCCCTCACACTCATCAGACTCACTAAAAGAAGAGATGTATTCGAAAAGGTGATGCTCGAATTCGCTCTGGAGAAGGGCAACCGACTTGCCGGCGGATTTTACGCCCTGCATTGCGCTGCGCGCTGCGGAGGCATAGACGTCGTCAAATTACTAACAAGGAAGGGCTACAACGTAAATGCCTGTGATGGCGATGGCTACACTCCACTTATGCTGGCAGCCAAGGAAGGCAACGGTAAAATGTGCGCTCTCCTCATATCATTGGGAGCACAGTTGGACATGAAAAACTCCAAAGGCGAATCCGCACTATCAATTGCTAGACAGTTTGGTAATAAGCAGAATGAAGCTGAAGAGGTTATCCTAAATGCCTTAGCACGCAAGCTGGTGTTGGGTGGGTCGTGTGTGAAAAAGCACACCAAGAAAGGGAAGGGAGCTCCACACATGAAGATCCTCAAAATGGTAGAAATAGAATCCACAGGTATTCTTCGATGGGGAAACTCAAACCGCCGCAGGGTTACATGCCAACACGCGGAGGTTGGGCCGAATTTAGATTTCGAGAAGAATAGGCTGCGGAAGGGCGCCTGTGATGGCAACGAGCCTGGAATTTTTCGTATTAGGACCACTAAGAATAAGGAAGTACATTTTGTGTGCGATGGAGGAGCTGAAATGGCTGGGCTTTGGGTGCGAGGGATAAGGCTTGTGACAGGTGAGTCTGTTTTTGGCATTTGAACATATTTTATTTTGAATATAGATATTCATTTAGGAAGAGATTTACAGTCACGTAGTACAGTACAATAGTAAAGATGTAGTACATGCTATTAGTAGTAGTAGCAGTACTTGGAGCACTGGGACGTTTATATTTGCATATTGCCATATGAATTGGGGTACGGCAACCATAAATAGGCCCTTTCTTGCCACCATATTCTACCTTTCAATCTGTTGATATCAATTGTTGGGTTAGGCCCATTTTTAATTTGGGCTCCAAGTGGATGAGTCGAAATATTGGTTGAAAAACATACTACTCCATAACGGGTAACAAATAAATAATTAATTAACTTGCCCTAGATTAATAAGAGCACTTGATTTTGTTTGGTTTTAATTGGAAGGTGCAGATTTAGAAAGCACATTATTATTATTATTATTGATTTTGTATGCTCTCTTTAGAATTTTGTGTGTACACTGTTTGGTGTTTTTTCTTTTTCGTTTTAAATTTAGAAATCAATCCCGCCTTTCCTCAAGTGTTGGTTTTGTTCTATTTCAGAATTTTGTTTATCGCTGTTGAATTTACTGCGATTTCAGGATTTTTAACATTTTGTTTTATTAATCCACGTAAAGTTTTTATTAAAAAACTACATTATTTTGTTCATCTTCCAAAGATTTGCTGACCTTTGCTAATTAATCTTAGATATTTTTTGAACATTATTAATATGTTGGCAGTTTCTAATATTTTATTGAACTATTTTTTCACAAATCTCTTCTCCCTCAATTAATCTAAAATCTTTAATAATTAAATAACGAAATCCAGGTAAATTAATTCATTGCAGCCAACTGTTACCCATTTACCCACCACCGAATTAAAAATTCACCCGTTTTCAGTTTTACGGAAAAGTGCCACGTTGACCTTTGTATGAGAAAAGACAGATAGGAAATTTAAAGACAAAAAGAAAATAGAAAATTTTTAAACACGTAAAAAATAATGAATGCAGATAACGTTCAAAGGTTGGGAATATGTGTTTTCAACCCCAAAAATTATCTAAAATTGCAAACCTGGCCCCTCCCCAACTCTTCAAGAGAGGTGACAATTGACATCAAAACTTTTAAATGGTAACAAAAAGGGCAAAAAAATGGTGAAAATAAAAAGATTCTTCCGTTCCTCCCTCCCTCCCCTCTCCTCTCTTCTGCAGTAGGCGGTTACAGTCTGTGTGGACGCAAACTCAAATTTCCTCAGCTCCATCTCGGCGCTGCAGCTTTGCTCATTCCGTGAGTTTCACGCTTAATGCACAGCAGAAACTACGGTGAAGCAGCATGTTCTACTCACATTTGATGCTGTCGAAGAAGGGGGCGTTGGGCGTCGTTTGGATGGCCGCTCATTGCTACAAACGGCTGAAGAAGGATCAAGTCCAGCAGACTAATGTTCCTGCTTCTGTCGGTCTGTCTCTCATCATGATCTTTCTCTTGCTTCGGTGTTTTGCTGTTGTTGTTCTCTGCGGAAAGAGAGGTCACTTGTCTATTAAGAATGTGAATTTTTGCTTTATGGATGAGTGTGTTTTGTTTGGCGATTAAAACCTTTTTATTCCTTTCCCCCTTTTTTTTTCAAAAAAAAAAAAATTATATTGTGTGGGTGGTGGGCGCTAAGGGTGTGGGTGCTTTCTTCTGTAGAATGATCACACGCAAACCCAGCCTCCGTGAATTCATTGGAAGTTCTTTGTTGTTTTATAACAGCGCCTGAATTTGAGGGGGGAAAAAGAATTAATCTTTTGATATGTGTGGAAATTTTCGAAGATAGGGGTGTGTGGCACCAATTTGTTATTTGTTAGAGAAATTGATGATTTTATGTTCACAAGACGCACAATCAAAACACAGATATGTGAATTTGTATGTGGCTCAGTCAGAGAATGAGTGATAACAGTTTTACAGACATTTTGTGCTTCCTTTTGCTCTTGCATTCAATAGCAAGAATCTATTCTTGGCCCATAGGTTAGGTGTATATATATATGAGAAGTAGCGTTTGTGATATTTGTATCTTGTAATGGTAAGAACGAGTGCAATTTGTAGCATTCATTTGCACCTCCCACATTGGAAGATTATGTATTAACTTGTAAAAATCTGAACTTGTTTACAAAATGTCAGGAATCCTCCTATTTTGATACATGTTTCCTCATTATATTAGTTTGGATTGTTTTCAGATATGATTCTTAAGGAGGAAGTGCCTAAGCTGACGCATAGAATCTTAGCCTTCCTTCTACTCGGCATTGCGAGGATATACGCGAAAAAGGCGGAGTATCTGAACAAGGACTGTGCAGACCTCCTAAATAAACTATGCGAGGTTTTCAAGAAAGAAGATAACACTGACTCAAGCCTACGAACTTTGCGGAAATTCTCGATCGCCATGCCGAACAGCTTCGATCTGGATGCTTTTGATCTTGACCTCTGTGAAGATCTAGACTTTGTGGGGTGAGCTTTGTAAACTATATCTGCTCGTTTTTTGGACTTATGCCATTTAGTAGCTCCTTTCTTCATGGGCATTTTATGTACTGTTTATTTCATGGTTTTCTTTTGAATTTGTTATCATGCAGTGGAAATGTGCGGCCGCACAATCAACTTGTGCTTGCAGGTATATATATATATATATTCTATTGTGTCACGCTATTTATATACGACATCTTGGGCTAATATGAGAGTTTATCATGTTTCAGAGGTGCAAGAAAACAACAGGAATGCACATGATTTCCAGTGTGAGGTACGGTTGTGTATTCATTTTTCCTGTCTGTGATCGTGTTAGAGTAACTAATATGCATAATGATTGAAAATTAGTTCAGGTTCGGTGTTAAATCTTGATGTAACGGTGCACCTTCTGCTGCATTTATGGACTGTCCGGCTTTTCGGATATTTTAATAATTGATACATGTCGAATGATCATTAATAGATAACTCAGTAAGCGTGCATTGATTATTGATCATTACCATTCTTTGTCATTTAGTTGTTGGGGTTAAATCTTGATGTAACGGTGCACCATTTGCCGCATTTATGGACTGTCCGGCTTTTCGGATATTTTAATAATTGATACATGTCGAATGACCATTAATAGATAATTCAGTAAGCGTGCATTGATTATTGTCTTTCTTTGTCGTTTAGTTGTTGAAAGCTTAGTAAGGGAAGATTGATTATTGTCATTCTTTGTCGTTTAGTTGTCGAAAGCTCAGTAAGGAAATATTGATCATTCCGCTTTTGTCTTTTAATTTTTGAAAGCTCAGTTAGGGAATATTGTTTATTGCCATTCTTTGTCGTGTAGTTGACCAAACCTCAGTAAGGGAATACAATCATTTAAACATTACGTAAGCACCATGTGTTCTATCTGTTGAGATTCGATACGCGTGTTCTTACTCATCTTTTTCTATTTATGAAGATTTGCCTGTTTGTTATGTGAATCTCTTACATCTAAATTGATTGGCGGAGGGTTGCTTTAATAAACTGTTTTGCATTGAATTTGTCAGCTGCAGGAGAACACAACAAATACACTACCCGGAAAGTAAGTAGCCACAAATTCCTCTGCTGAAATTTAATTCTGCACTGACCTTGTTATCTCAGGCCTCCGATTCTGTGTTGCAGTGCATATTCGCGGCATTATGAGGACAGACAATTGGTCTTGGCCTCATCCGTTAACACGGATTCTTCTTTGGCTCGCCTAGGGGAGGTACCCAATACAAGTTATTTCTTGGAAGATCGTTTGGAGCCACTGGTGTTAGATGTGGCTGAAGAAGAACAGCTGTGTATGAAGGCAACGGACACCATGTGCCTTACATTGCCGAGCTTGGAGAGACCTCGTGATGCTCAGTTCTCTTTTGAAGATTGCTCAGACTATATGTTGTTGGATGGAGCAGAAAAAGAGCAAACAAGCCATAAGCCATCTGATGACATGATAGGGACTGACTTCCCTGATCCGATCAAAGATGTTGAGTTCGATGATGACTCAAGTCCATTAACTCTTGGAATTGAGTCGGCCAAAGGTACGGAGATACTTGAAGCAACTGATATCTCCTTCGAATACTGCCCCACTTTGAAAACATCAAATGAGGCTGAAAAGGATCAAGGCAGCAACGAGCCTTCTTCTACAGAGAGTGGAATTACGGAAAAACCTGTGGAGAATCTAAAGGCTCAATTGAGCATGCAAGAGGGTGGACTGGAACGTGTTGATATAGCGCAGCCCGTGGCTGTGAATAAGAGGAATGTGCTGGAGGTGCTTACCCCAGACATTATGAGCTGCCAGAATATGGATGTGTTTCCGATGTCCATTGGCACTCAAAATCCACAGCAGCTAGGTAATTCTGTTTCTTCCCAAATTCAAACTAGCATAGTGAAACTTGCTTGTCAAATGGATTTCTTGATTTTTGTACTTTTGTGTAATGGTTATCTGTTTCATTTGTTTGTAAGTTATCAAATACTCCTTATCTTCTTCTGGTTTTATTTTTCAGATACAAGTAGCCCTGAGCTTGCTGATATCCTGACTCCTGCTGCCCAAGAATGTGGTAAAATTCAGAGCAAGCCGGAAAATTTATTTGACACTCCTAGTGCACAAGAATGTGGTAAAACTCCGAGGAAGCGGAAGATTTTACTTGATATGGACACTATTATTCCAAATAGGTATGTCAATGTATCTTTTATATCCTTTTTAGTGATGTATTGTAGACATTTGCCAAACATGTCTGTATTTCTTGCTTTATCAAGTTCTTACAGGTGTGATGAACATGCTACAGAGTAATATTAATGGATGAATTAATATTTTATGGTTAATTATCTTGTCAATTTGTAGGGTAATCAAAGAATGGATAGCGAACAGTCCAAGTGCTTTGAAACGTGAGAGAAAGGATGTTCCAAAAACTGTTTTGCAGGCATGGAGGGCTTGCAAACTTGGCCAAAGCACTCCTAGCTTTTCCGAGCCATTAATATCCGGTGAATACCTTCTTTGATTTGAATTTGTTGCAAATTTCCTTATTCGCTTGCTCATTTTTGTAATAACCATGTCACATGCAGGCATGTCAGCTGATCTAGCATCACTTCATTGTGACAAGAATTGTGCAGCAGCGACTTCTGGTGCCGAATTGCATGCCAATCCCGACAATTTCCAATTTCCAGCATGCACAGTTGATGAACAAAATGTGGATGCTGGTTTCCCGGCTATCGAGTGTCCTCCAAGACCAGCCCCGCTTGCTCCCAGAACACCCACATCTAATCTGGGTTTATTGAGGCCACAGAAGATTGGAGAAGCTCCGGATTCAGACATCCTGGAAGCCTCCACCTCACATGAAAGCATGGACAAGATGCAATCTTCAAATGAAGAAGAATTGAATGAAGTCTTTTGTGAGGTACCAATTTTATATTACTATTATTTATTAAGATCGCAGTGTATGTTTATCCCTACTTGGGATTCTGTTTTGTTTCTCTAATCTGTGTTTGACGCAAACGATGCTTACGGTGTAACATCTTTCTTTGCCAGGAAACAACTTCAAGTGACATAGACAGCCAAGCAAAATGTAAGCCCACGTTATGTATTTGCTGTTATTTAAGAGGACTTTGTCTGTTCCACCTTTGTTAACTTTGTCTCTTTATTTATTCCAGATAACTATTCTGCAAATACAAGGTATGTATTATAAACTCTTATCTTGTGCCCTTTTTCTAATGGAACATATCCGACTTTGCTTTGATCATTTTTCTTTGCCTCTCAGAACATTGGGATGCTATCTTCATAGAAAATTCATGGCTAAAAGAAGAAAAGATGAAGAGGAAGTATTGAACTTGTCGAAGTTGCTGAGTGGAAGGAGAAAGAAAGCAAGCGCAAGGACATTTTTCGAGATATTGGTACAATTAGTTATCTCTTATCGAAGAAAATTACCTTTATATCCCATCCCATCCCATCACATGCATCTGATCTAGTATTCATATATACAAACAATGACAATGCTTTGGATGGATTTTCAGGTGTTGAAAACCACAGGCTGCATACATGTACAACAGGACAATAACTATGGCGATGTTATGCTGCGGGAGGCTTCCAAATTGAAGCAGGTAGTAGAGAATTTTGTGTAGCTACAAGTTGGTATATAAAACTTGCAGAGTGCAGTTAGATGACTTACTAAGTATAAAGAAGAGGATATAGTTGGGACAGAGTTAGTTATTTGTAACATGATAGAGAGACAGGCTAGGCTGTTGTAGTTTGTAAATTTATCATATGATGAATTAATTGATGGATGCTTTGAATTGTACAAATGTAACAACAGTTGCCCAAACTAAAATTTATTTATTTATGATGGATGGAAGAATGATGCTTCTTCCAAATAACAAAATATGAATGGAATGGTTCTTTGGATTATTATTATTATGTATAGATGTGAACTCTAATATCTTTTCTAGTAAGTTTTACAGCCACCTTTTGGTGCAGATAAAGATCATGAATATAAAGTCTACTATAAGGATTGAGGGCAATCAATATACAACATGTCTGAATACATAAAAATTTTGGCCTTGAAGAAAATAACAATAATCAAACTGTTAATAAAAACAGAAACAGTGAGTGCTACTGCTATGCCTGGTCGACACAAATCAATAATCCAATTCTGATGGCCTGTAGAGTTTCGAGAACAGGTTGAGAGAGATCAATCGCTGGAAGATCCATCGTCATTGTCTTCGTGTTCTCTCACTACCCTCTCCAAAAACTTCTTCCTGACTCCATCAAGAACATCGTCTCTGGATTGCTCCCCACTGTGCCCGTCATCAAGCACAGGGTCTGACTGGCACAGAACTACCGCAACACCTAAATTCAAACCACAATCTCATTAATATCCCGTCACAGAAATGGAAAGCACAGAACAGCTATAGTAATTAAGGGGAAAATGGATAAGAAACTCTTCAAGAATGCATTGCCATACACAATTCGGGCGGGGGTTGGGTTGGGTTGGACACATCACTGTGTTTTTAATTCTTTTCATCCCAATTCATATATCAAATGTATTTTTCTCCTTTTCTGCCTAAGTTGTTTGTTTCCCACTTTATCACTGAAACTGTTAACTTACAAGGGAAGACCTTCAACATCAAAATAAAAATTTCAGAACCAGAGAACTTTCTAAAGATGGCACAACTAGAAAACTGTTAAACTCTAATTAAGGTAAGCAAAAAGACAGCATGGCGAAGAGAGACGTACTTTCAGGAGTGCACCTTCGTCCAAAACTACGCAGTCCCACATGAGTTGCCTTAACAGCGCTATTATTGTAAACCAGAATCGTCGGAAGATTTAGGTCAGGATAGTTGGGAATACACTCTGTTGATATAATTTTGACAAACTTTGTCGCAGGGTACTTTTTAGCCAGTTCTTCAAGGCATTGAAGAAGCACTCTACACTCCGGGAATCTGTCAAAAGAACCAAAAAGATACAAAAGAAAAACATATGTAAAAATGCAAAGATACAAAAAAACACAGGAAATGGCTTTTGCTTGGATGCTAATGGTATTTACTTACCCATCTTTATACAGTAGCACTACAACCCAAACATCTTGAGGAGCTTGTGAAACTTCTCGCACAAAATCAGATCCTGAAATTGGAATCACTGAACCAAACTTTGCAACTTTGACTGCTTCCCTCATCTCAGCCAACCTCTTTTTCCTACCACACCCAAATGAAAGAACACCCATCACATCTGATTGTCACATTTTACAAAGATTGATACAATAAAAGGGTTTATCTACTTAAAGATATAAGAATTCCTTCGCCAGGAAATTTAAATTTTCATTTTAAAGTGTTTCTGGCATATGCTCAATCTCATTTTCCAAGTAAACCAACTATTGAAGTATAACAGGATAAATATATATATATATATATTGTGTGTGTGTATATATATATTTCAATTAAAAAACATCCAAACGAGCCCTTGTGACTGCAATCGATTCCATTCAACTAAGATTATCAATTTTCTGTAAATGCATCAAAACATCAACTTCTGAATCATCTCAATTTTCGGATAAATCTCTTATTAACTCGGCAAATGCTCAAACCTTTCAATGCTAATTTCCAATCGTTCAACCGATACATGAGTAAAGCATCTCAAAAGTATAAAGTAAAATCAAATTAAATATTAAAAAAGCGAATCACTACCTGTACTCATCGAGGAATCGATCGTCGTCGAGATCATCTTCAAGATCTTCAAGCTCTTCCTCAGTTTTCTCGTCGATCCAACTCTTGTCTTTAGACTTCGAATCCTTGTCTTCAGCTGGCGTGAAGGAAGGGGGCTTGAACGGTGGCTGTTTAGCAGGTAGATTTCCAAGTTTTCTTTGAATGTCATCCCACTGCGTTGAAGCTCCTTCTACATCCTTGTAAACGAAATGATAATCCGCCATTGCAGTGGATTTTCTCAGCTCCCAGAATTGGAGTCGCACGTAACAGAAATTTCCAGGGACTTATGAAAATTTACATTGGACCGAGAAAGCCCAATACTGTCCAATTTGGGTCATAGGCATAAAAATTGATAGAACTATCACTTGCGCATTACGTTCGAACCGGCGGTCCGCTTCAAACCGGAATCGCCACCGAACCGAAATCAAATCGATTTTTACACGGTTCGGTTCGATTTGATTTCGGCTCCTTTCTTTCGAACCGTTACTCGCCAAACGCACCCTAATTATTTTATATTGTTAATTTTTGATAAAAACTAATATTAATAAAAATAAATGTAAATAATGATATTAATATTACTGAGTATATTTATGTTTTGAATTTTATAATTATTTATTTAAATTATATATTATCCCTTTCATATTAAGTATAATGTCACAATTTAACACAGAAAACAAAAAATATAATTAATAAATAATTAAAAATAAATTAAATAAATTAAATAAAATAAAATTTAAATATTATAAATTTAATTAATTAATTTTATTAAAATTTTAGGAAAATATATAAATTATAAAATTTAAAGGATTTGTTTGGCTCTAATTTTTTATTTGAAATTGATATTAATTCTAATTTTTGTTTAAATAATAATAATAATAATATATTTCTATTTTAAATTATTTAATTATAAAATAATTATTTTTACATAAATTATGTTTTTATAAATATTTTTTACTTTATTTGTACACTATATTATTATTTTTATATTCCCTCCGTCGCGCGAAATTAATCGTGTTTCTTTTTTGCGCGAATTTTAAGAAAATTTGGTTTATATAGTTAATTAATGTGATTAGTTAATGTAATATGTGTAATAAAATGTTATTTTATTTTTATTCGATGAAATATTGAAATAAAAGTTGAAATATTTTTTATTTTATTAAATTTAATATTTTATTTATTGAATCTTTTTATTTTAAAAAAAAATTATTATATTGATTGTAAATTATGGAATTAGATAAAAAAAAATTAATTGTAATAATTTAAATACAAAAATAACAGCCGTAATACTAAAATTTTTAATATAAACGAAACATCAAATTTTTTGAATTTGATTGTTGGTAGGGATAATTCGATATTGCATACCAAAATTTATAGCGCATATTTTATATATCGTACCAAATTTTTTAGTATGTTATTTTATCGTAATGAGATATTGTATCAGTAATTCGATATACCGAATTTATAGATGTAAAATTACTGAATTACAGAAATAACACATACTGTAGTAAAAAATATCAAAAATGCCAATTTTCAGTATATCAATTTTTTTTTGTATGGTATCGGTATTTTTTTAAAAATGCCAAAAAATTTGGTGTGATATACAATATAGTTCGGTATGATTTGAATACAGTATCGAGTAATTTATAATCGAATTACATGTATAGTATCAATATAATATTTTATGCTGAAAATACTCCTTTCATCCATAACAAAGTATCCATTTTTTCATTTTAGTTTGTCTCGTAACAAAGTATCCATTTCCTTTGTTAATAACTGTACTATCTACTAACATTACAAATACCCTTATAACTTACAATATATTACACAAATGTCGTTACCTTTATATTAAACGTACTAATAAGGTTATTTTAGTCATTTCAACTTTATTTCCTACTATATCACAATATAATATTAATATTTCTAAAATTACGTGCAAAAAACAAATGGATATTTACTTATGGGACGGTGGGAGTATAAAAATTAACAATAATTTTACAATTTTAAGAATATATTAGAAAATTAATTATTTTAATACCAATATACTAAATTATTGATATAGACCGATATATCAAATACTAAAATATCAAATTGTATTGATATTTTCAGTATATATTATACCAACAATGCTAAAAGTATATACAATTGTCTCATACCATATTTTTTCATGCATTATTTGAGCAAATTGATAATTTTCACTCTTAATAATAGTGATAAATGAATTTTTTTTAATGAAATATAAAAATCAAATTCTAAATCAAATCTCATTATTAACTAATTTTCAATAATAAAATATCAAATCAAATTTTTTTATATTATATTAAAAAATAATTAAAAATTTTAGACATCATATAAACAGTTATTTATATCATATTGAATATTTATTATTTTTATTATTCAAAATTATATTACTACTTTTAAATTTACAATAAAATAAACGAACAAACAATAAAAGTTAGGGGTATTAATAATTGAATAAAATATAGTTAAATTTGTAATTGTTATTAGTATTTACTAATTATTATTGTATTAGAAAATGTGACTAATTTAGCGGGACAACCAAAAAGGAGAAATATGGACTAATTTCACGGGACGGAGGGAGTATAACTTTTAATTATACACGAGCCAGTATTTTATATTTTTATTGACAAATATGTTTAAATAAGTAATACAAATTTGAATTTAAAAAAATAAAAAATAAAAATAAAAATAAAAGCAAATCCAATAATATAAGAGGAAGATAGTATATACTCCTCACTCCATCCTATTTGAAAATATATATATTTTTATTTTGGGATATTCAATTACAATGTAAATATTTCATTAAATGCCTAGTTTTACACACAAAAAAAAAAGATAAAAATATCATTATACTATTTTTAACTGCCAACTATAACTAAAATACTATAATTATATGTGGACAAAGGGAGTATATTTTTCTAATATTGAACCAAACATATAGAAAAATAGCAATCGTTGAAAAAAAAAAAGATGTATAGGATAATAAAATATATAATTATTATATTTTGAATTATGTCAGTTATTTTACATAAATTTTTAATTGAGATTATCTGTATAATTTATTTCTTCATTTAATTTAAATATTTCAAAAAATAAGATAATAATAAATTGTTTCTAATATGTTTTCAATGTTAGAAGCAAAATATTGAAAAAATAAAAAATAAAATAAAATACAAAAGTGCAGAAAGAATAGACACCGTAATAGATTTGCAATTTTTATTATTTATTGTATTTATACACAGAACAGAAAAAAGAATTATAAATAAAAATATTGTATCATTATTATTTGCTAAATTTGCAATAAGGCATATAATAAGCCCAAGTCACGACTTAACCTCTCGCTTCCAATCCTCCTCGTTTCGCTTTCGGCCTTTCGGATCGTACCACGCTCGCCATCTATCGAAGTTTCAGTCTTTCCTTCTTAAGGTAGATTCAATTTTTAGCGATTTCATTCTTTGTTTGATAATTTTCATTACCTATTAGCGTTTGCCCCTCTGATGTTCTGAATTTTGTTCGCCGTTGGAGTTGTGGACGCGTAGTTCTAGGTATCGTACAAATTGCTGCCGTAGATTCTCTCTGACTTTCATTTTCAGCTTTAGTGCTGTATTTTCATTTTGTTTCCTCTGATCTTGAATCAATTCGAGCTGGAAATGATGTGTGTGAGTTTCATGTTTCTGATTGTGAGAAAGCGAATATGGTTTCATTGCGAATCGCGTGTTGTTGGCTTGTGTGATGATTTGGAGCAGTTTTGGTCTGCCTTCAGTCCTGACACGTCATTCTTAGAGTAGATTTACATATGGAAATGTTTTCGCTTGCGTCATTAATTCTTGCTAGATTTTCATTTTGGACATCAGTGTGTGGTTCCCGGGATTTCCATTTTGAATTCATTTCTCCCGGTCGAGGAATTTCAATGGAATCCTCGTGCGAAATGATAATTTGCTTGCATCACATTTGATTTTTGTTCAGGTGGGTTATTTGAAAAGAATGAAAGTGTGGGGATATGATGGAAGGGAATAGTCTGTTGGTCATCTATTTCATGCCCTAATATGCGAATCATGATGTGGGATTGGAAATTTTTCTTATGAAAATTTTGGGCTGCTGAATCATTGCAATATATTTCTCAAGCATTTATCATCTATAAGTTGATTGAATTTAAAGTTTCACTTTCTTTTGGTAAATAAGCACATTCAAAGTATTTTATTTGGTGGTGGTGGTATAAAAATTCAGACAATCAACAACTTCAATGGCATGTTTTCAGTGTGCAGTTCCTTCCAAATTTTAAAAATCTTTTTTCATCAGTGTCTTGAACCAACATACCATCAGCACACATAAAATGTCAGCTGATTCTTTCCTCTGTTAAGCATTCTGTATTGTGGTATTCTCTCTTGCTTTTCTGAATTTTAAGGATGAAAATGCTACACAACTTCCCTTATTCTCTATGCTGTTCGCTTGCTTATCATATATTTTCTTTTTCCCCCTTCTGATGAATAGACACGGTTACAATTAAGATGTTTGGAGGTAGAGCCATCCACCGGTTTCTTAGAGAGAAACTTCAGTCACAAAGCAGTGTAAGTTATCATAGTTTTGATTTTTCTAATCCTGATTTTATTCTTCTTTTGTATAGTGTTTATTTTGCTGAAAAGCAAAACCACAAGTCTTGCTGTGCAAACATCCAACAAAACTTGATTGCCCAATTTTTTGCTTTGCCTGACCCATTCTCAGTTCTTCACTAACTATAAAAGAATCACAAACTTTTAGATTTTTCATTGATAGTTAAAATAGGATTTTAATACAAATTGTGTTTTATGGACTGAAACATCTGTCTCAGTTTGCAAATTTTTAGAATTATATATACACATGTACAGTTTGTTGATAAAAGAAGTAAAACCAATATTTTTCTGTTTCAGTCATCTTTGTTTTTGTCATCTTTTATTTCCAAGAAAGGGCATGAAGGTCTTGGATTTGGCACTTCAAATTCCTTGAGGGCATTGGCTGTAGTTGGAGCTGGTGTATCAGGAGTGTTGAGCTTTGCTACAATCTCATCCTGTGATGAGGCTGAACATGGTCTGGAAGTCCCAAGCTATCCTTGGCCTCATAAGGGCATTCTAGGATCCTATGATCATGCTTCGTGAGTTTTCAAATCTTCTTTTTTATTTAAGTTCCATGAATAGTCAGTTGAATAAATTTATGATAAGCTGTGCTAATCATCTCATTTGTGAAGTTTGGTTTAGAAATTTCCATTCGAGACTTTTAATATCACTATCAAGTTGTGCATATTTACAATTTGACACCACTTTGTTTTTGGTGGGTATGATGTTCCATTTCCATATCTGAAATATGTTTATGCCGGAGCACTCAGCTTGCATACTTGTGTCTGATACTGTTTTGTGTTTGATTTCGTATTTGGGAACTTAGCGTTGTCGATGTATGTTTATTGTCAACTGTTATCAACCTCTGTGCTCCACTTGAATAATTCCTGTGTCAAAGCTACCTAAATTTTAATTTTGTTAGAAAAAATTAAAATGAAAACTATATGCCATATTTCCTTTACCCCCTTTTCTGGAGTCTTCATTTCACATTAATATATTTTCCTGAGAAGCTTTGGTTAAATACTGCTAATATTCTAAAATACAAAATAAAAGATGAACATGCACTCTTTTGTGTTCTTGCTTTTGTTGAGTTTTTTGTTTTGATGTTTTTGAGGTGAATAGTTGTTGGATACAATGTTTTGGGAGGGAACATAATTAGATTGAATAGTAAACTTATGAGAATATATATATATATATATATATACAAAAGAACACACCCTAATTTAAGTCGAATTGGATATACCTATCAAATACCATAGAAAAGACTAGAGAAAACTTTGTAGAATCTATATTATAAGCATGTTTCTTTTGTGTCCGGTTATTGAATGATGTGAAGATGCATTCTCTTCGAAAGACAGCAAGTCTTCTTTTAATTGTGATTTTGAAGTTTTAGCATAATAAAATCTTGAAGCTTGATGGTAACAAGTCATGTTGTTTATACACCATAAAGATTGTCTTTTTAGGTTCTTTCTTAATTCCGTGCATTTTACCACTTGTAACATCTATTGATGTCAAAAGTATTATCAACTATTTTCTACATTTGTTCCAAGGTTAATGATTTGTTCAGCCAGTCATGGACAAGATTTTCGTAATTTTTGAATATTTTGGAAGCTCAGATAAAACTTACCACTTTCATCACATTGATAAACCAACAACTGTATGTCCTTGATTTACTTCAACACTGCTTGTTTTAAATAGGATTCGGCGTGGTCATCAAGTTTATCAACAAGTATGTGCTTCCTGCCATTCCATGTCTTTGGTTTCATATCGTGATTTGGTGGGCGTCGCCTACACAGAGGCAGAAACCAAGGCTATGGCTGCTGAGATTGAAGTTGTTGATGGCCCTAATGATGAAGGGGAAATGTTTACTCGGCCTGGGAAACTGAGTGATCGGTTTCCTGAGCCATATCCAAATGAACAAGCAGCTAGATTTGCAAATGGTGGGGCTTATCCTCCAGATCTAAGTCTTATCACAAAAGTATGTCCCACTTTTCCTTGGAAGTTATAATAGTTAATTTGGTATTTCTTTTCATCTTTCTTGGCTAAGTTACAGTTTGTTTTGTTCTTAGGCTCGTCACAATGGCCAAAATTATGTATTTGGCCTTTTAACTGGGTACCGTGATCCTCCAGCTGGCGTTTCGGTGGGTTTGGATAGATCTCTCATTTATTTTATGCAATGAATAATAACTCTTATCCATTTCATTCTGTCTTATTCTTCTGTAAATGTTTGATTTACAAAAAGGTTTGAAAAAACAAAATATCCTGGTTCTATCTTACTACTGGTTGTGTAGTTTTCCTTTATTCAGTATGCAGTAACCCAGGCTCTCTAATTCGCATGAATGCCGTCATTCTATCATTGCATTTCTTAGAAAAATATGATTGATTATACTTGAAAGAACCATTTACTTAGCCTCTTTTGTGGAAAGCTTGTTTTCCTTTTAGCCCAATGCTAGATATTTTTAATGACTACTGATTATTTGCTCATAGAAATCCTCCTTTTTTTTGGTTATACTTGTAGAATGTACATGGCTGATTTGATACACTAACTAGCCCATTTCTTTTTGCTTATTAGATCCGTGAAGGGTTGCATTATAACCCTTACTTCCCGGGAGGTGCTATAGCCATGCCTAAAATGCTCAACGACGGAGCTGTTGAGTATGAAGATGGTACCCCTGCAACTGAGGCTCAGGCAAGCTCACATTTCTGCTCTTGTTCTATGCCTGCGCATGCATTGCATTAGCTCATCCTTATTTTAAAATCTGTTTTCTTGTTTCTTTAGATGGGGAAGGATGTGGTATCCTTCCTGTCATGGGCAGCAGAACCTGAAATGGAAGAGAGAAAACTGGTAAGCTTTCTGATCTCCCGAATTGATGTGAATAATTAGTCAGAATGAGCGAGCTCTATGCTGACACAGTTTCGCCTCGCTACTACAGATGGGATTCAAGTGGATCCTTCTGCTGTCACTGGCCCTCCTTCAAGCTGGGTACTACCGGCGCCTCAAGTGGTCGGTTCTCAAATCCCGGAAGCTGGTCATCGACCCCATCAATTAGTCCGATGCCTCTGTGTTTTGCATATCAAGGATCTCAAGTATGCTGCCAATAATTTTGTTCCATTGACTGACTGACTGACAAAGAAAGAAACAGCTGCCATTCATTCCCTATTACAATTTGACAAGGAAGGAATAAATAGTTGAAAGAAAAGTTGCAGAGATTTTCTTGATTTGATGAGCTCTCTGCCGATTGATTGTTCATTTTTATTTGAATTTGGAAAACATTCTCATTCGTCTTTCATAATTTATGTTGTTTTCATTCCCTTTAATTTAATCTGGGCTTTAATACTTTGATGGGTTTATATTTGCTCTTTGTGTATTCCGATGTTTTATCTTTTATTTATACCATTTCCCACCACACCCGCAACACCAAGACAAATGAGTATTCTATTTTCACACCCAATCGTAATAAAAGAATAAATAAAATGTGATCTTTTCAAAATTTGATACGTGGACCAACACAAATTTCCAAACAACCCTACTACTATTATTCTACTCTTTAGTGTCATCATTAATGTACAAATCCATCATCACTCACACCCTTACATCTGTCCATAATAATAATCATTATTATAATATGTCCTGTGTACTGCCAATATTCTCCAATATTTTAATTGGAGTAATATTTAGCTTCCATGTTGCATCAGAGACACTTTTTTCAACCCCAGAAAATACACCGCAGCTGCATATTTATTGCCAAGATGATGGATGAAGTTTTATCGCCGGTACAGTGAGAAAGTACAGTGCAGTGCAGTGCAGGAAATACACATACGTACTTGGGATACGGTCCGGTCCGGTCCGGTCCGGTCCGGTCGGGTTGGGGCGTAAGTAAGTAACTTTCAGGCTGAATGCTGGTGAATTGAATAAGCAGCGTAGCCATCGGTGAGGATACACGTGTCCCTTCTCTGGAACCTTCCTCATCTTCACTGACAACACACCATTATTCCTTTACCTTGCATTAGCTGTGACCTGTCCTCTTCTCTGTTACGTTGCGCTCTCCCATTCGATGGTTTTCCTGCGTCCCTCTCCCTTTTTTTCATCCCTAATTTCCTGCGTCTAACATGTGTCACATTTGGTACGCAACCTTTACTTTTTCTCCCTGCTTCCTTCCCAAATGAGATCTCGGTAGAATCCTCGCTTTTGGAGGTTAATGAGGTGAACAGAAGGTGAGTGGTGTTGGTGCTGGATTCGTTTGGGTTAGCTCTACGTGCTTGTGTGTTTGTGTTGCATCGATGCGTCGGCTTCGTTGTGCTGTGAAGTCATCGTCGTCGGAAAATTATGACCCGGTGATGCATCGAGTTATGATGCTCAGATTCCGGCCGATTGCGCCGAAACCTGCGGATGGAGAAGCGGTTTCCGCTGCGCTTAAGGTTGTTGGAGCGAGAAGGAAACGGAAGTACGTTAGGGTTCGCGGTCGGAAAAATACGAACATGAGAAGTAACGGGGTAAAAAAACCGTCTCCGCCGCTAAAATCAGGAGTTGAGGACGACTCGTCGCTGGAGAAAGGAGTGGAGACGCTGCAACTGATGCTGGAGAGATCGGAGAGTGATAAAAGCTACGGAAATAGTACCACCGTCCAAAAAATCCACCAAAATATTTGGAATATCGGCGGCGGCGATGAAGCAATACTTCCGGTGAACGGCGGTTGCGACGCGGCTGCGGAGTCGGCGGCGACAGGAAACTCCGGATCCGTGATGGGGACGTGGATAGTGGTAGAATGCGTGACGGACACATTCTTAGATAGTGGAGTAGGGTTAGGGCTTTCTGACCGGGATAAAATCAACAGCCTAAAAGTGGACACGTGTCCTGGATTCATATCCGACGGCGCACAGAAAGTGGTTTGGATTAACGAAGCATATAGAAACATGGTGGCGGAGGAGAACCGGAATGGGACGATGGTGCGGCTGTCGGTGAGAGACGAATTAATTCCCCAAAATAGCCCTTCGTTCTCATGCAGGGTGAGAATGAGCCAGCAGACGAAGCAGGGGTATAAATGGAATAGAATATTGGCATGCGATGTGTGGAGAATGAAGGAATTTGCAGGGTTTGCATGGAGATTGGATCTCAACACTGCACTCGGCTTGGCCATTTAGAAATTAATTAAATTATTCCTCCACAGAAAACATCTCAGGTACTATTATTCAATTTTCACTCCACCATTGCTAAATGCTAACTAATTAATAATACTCCACTAGTATTTTACTGGACAATAGATACACATGTATAATTAATGAATAATATCTTTGCTAATTCAACTCGATCAGTCTTGAATTCTTAATAATTAACATTTTAAATATATATATATATTATTATTATTATATTTTTTTATATAATTAATAATATTGATAATTTTATACAATTAATTTAATATATATAATTTAAAAATTAAAAAATATATTTAAATATTTAAAAATTATATTGTAATAAAAAAATATATATGCATTATGAATATCATTTAGTAGAGAATAAAGTAAATAAAAAAATATTTTCTTTATTTATAATTAACCTAATTAGATAATTTAAGTGAAATTTTAAATGTAAATAAAAATATATATATCTTTTAAGAGAGACAAAAATAAAATAATTTTGAGTGAATTTGACTTATAATGTTATATGTTATATATAATTAAATTGATTTATATTTATTAAATATCTTTGAATTTAGTAAGTTTTGTACAAAATGAAAAATGTCAATTTTTATGAAGAAACAAAAGTAAAAATAATATGGGACGGATGGGGATAGAGTATATATTTGGGAGATTTGATTAGATTTTTACTGTTCATTATATTTTTTTCCCCCAAAAAATATCAAATCAAACACTTATTTTTTATTTTTTATATTATACTAAAAATAAATTTATATTTAAAACATCACATCAACACCTATTTATATCACATCATACATCTATTTAAAATTCAAAATTTTTATTATTTAAATTCCAACTTAAAATTCAAATCCCTAAACAAACACACCCTAAGTGAACAAGAGGAAATTTCATTTAAGATAACTAAAAAGCAGCAGGGATGGATGATATATCAAAATACCGATTTATCGTATCGTATCGTATCGTGTCGAAAATATAAAAAATTTTGGTACTGTATAGATATCGTACCGAAGTTTTCAGTACAGTGTCGGTATGAATTTTCGAAAAATTCGGTATTTCGGCATGATACCGTACCGATATTATTTTTATTAAATAATTTAATTATTAATATTAATAATAATTATTAATATTTTTTTAAATCATAACAAAAAAAAATGTAAACTAGTGAAACTTTATTGGTTTTTTAATTATTATTTATTATTATTTTTAATTATTTTGAAATTTAAAATTTTATTTTCGGTATAATTAGTATATATCGGTATCTATCGAAATCAAACTTTTCGGTATAAACTGTATATACTAGTATCATACTGAAATTAAAATTTTTGATATAAACGGTATATATCGGTGCCGTACCGAAAATTTCAGTATATTAAAATTTTTGGTACGATACCGATATGTATTTTAGTCATACCGAAAAGTTTGATACGGTATCGGGATCAACCGATATTCGCATCCCTAAATGCAGGTGATTGATCAACCTTCATTCATTAATAAATGAAAATAGGTCTTGACTGTAGATCGTCTATTAATTTTTATTTTTTATTTATTATTATTATTATTTTTATGCAATGTCCAATGCAAGAAAACTTTGGGTATGTTTGTTTGAATTGTACTTGTTGTTTATTACTGTAAATTATATTTTTTCCTAATAAACATCACTTCCATGCATTAAGTATTGAAGATACTATTGTTTCATTCATTTTAATTAATTTATTTATTTAAAACAATACATACACTACTTATGTATATATTTATATATATATACACACACGTATATCTTTCATGTAGGATCATATATATATATATACATACATATAATATGTGGTTTAATAATTAATTAATTGTTGGGACATGATGATATATATATGCAGTTGATGGAAAGTTTGGTGATGGATTTGTGTTGATACTAAAAGTTAAATGAGAGAGAAATCAGGTAGCTAGAAGATGCATGTGCCTTGGAAAATCAGTCCCTTCATGCAGGATCAGGACACAATTACCAGCTGCCTCGTCGTAAGTATTATATATATATATATGTATGTATACATGGTAGTATCAATAATCTTACTTGTGCAATGCATGCAAGTATGACAATAGGACTAGCTATATATATATATATATATATATATAGCCTATAGCTTAGCTAGTCATGTAAAATTAAAGCTGTAAGGTATTGTTTGAAAAAGAATAACTTGACCCATCTGCTACAACTATATAATCGCGCCCGTATCGATGCAAAGTTGCCGTTTATTTTTTGCACGTAAATTTTTTAATATTAGTATTATAATAAGTTGTAGTGAAAAAGATGAAAATGCCTCTATTAGTATTGTGTAATATAAAAGTAACAATATTTGTGTAATATAGTATAAGTTAGAAGGGTATTTATTATGTTAGGTACGTAGTAGTATAATTACTAAATTAAGAAATAGTAACCTTTGTTTTGGAGTCAATGAAAATGGAAAATGACAACCTTTCAATGAGACAGATAAAGTATATTAAGGATATGTTTAGATTAGAGCTTACAAAATTGGTCGAGTCCGTCGAATTGGTCGTTCTGCTTCACTTATTAAGAAAAATTGAATTTTAATTTTTTTAACCTGTTAATTATAATTATTATTTCTATTATAATTTTATATCTTACATATATTTGAGGCCGGCATGGGTTCACTTTTGGCAAAACTTAAATTTCTAGCTATTTTGTATTATTTTTATTTAATTTTTTTATTGATTGTTTTATTTTATAATTTTATATATTTTATGAATGAATGTGGTATACTATTTTTTTGTTTTTTAATTGTTTGTATAAGTTGTTGCCGGGAGGTAGATAAATGTGAATGTCTATTATACTATACTAAAATCGTTCACTTGCACAATCAGTTTTGAACCGTTGGGTTTAGCCCAATGGTTGTTTATTCAATTTTATATTTGCATATGAAAAATTATTTCACAAAGAAAATACCAATCATATTATGGGTTTTTTTACTCTTCTTTATGTAAGAGTAAAAGACAATATTTTAGATGCAAAACTATTGTTTTCATATATAAAATTAGGGATGTCAACGGGGCGGGTTCGGGATAGGTTCTGCAGCCCCGAGACCCGCCCCGCTAGAAAATATTAGACTTCGAAACCCGTCCTGCCCTGCTTCCACCCGGCTTCAGTACCCGCCCCGTCCCGAATTCTTTGGGTTCGGGGCCAATCCGGCAAATCCGTTTTTTTTTTTAAAATATATAATAATAAATATTTTTTCAACAATCGAATACTAAAACAAATAGCATTAAAAGCAAAAAAAAAAAATCTAAAAACAATCAAATATTGATCCATAAAAATAAGATAAATAAATAAATAATATATTTTTATTATATAAATATACATATATTAGGTATAATAATTAATTTTAAAAAATTATTTGGAGCAGGCGACTAATTGAATTTTATATTTAAAATTATTTTAGTAAATAAATAATATATTTTTATTATATAAATGTACATATATATTAGTTATAATAATTTTAAAAAATATCCGGGTTCGGATTCGGGTCCGGATTGGGGCGGATTTTTAGTAAAACTCGTAACTCGCTCCGAACCCGGCCGGGTTTAAAATTTTAAATCCACAACTCGCCCCGAAATATATTATTTAGACCCAAACCCGTCCCATTAAGAGCGGGTCCGGGGCTAACCCACCAAATTTGACATCCCTATATAAAATTGTCTTATATTGACAAAGTATTAATTGTCTGTTATGTACACGTATGTCTATCGTATCACCTTGCAAATATATACGATTTGTCGACGTAGGTGTAATATGGATGTTTTGTAGTAGGTTCCTTACCCTATATATATATATATGTATAGGTTGAATGTAGAAAAAAAGGAAACACAGACAATTCGGATCAATCTCCTCCACTGCCTCTCTCCCACTGCCTCTCTCTCCGTATATCTATATCTATTAGATACATTAATTATCACACACATTCGTATATATTATACTTATATTATTATACTTACCAACTATATTATATTATTATATACACGTTATCAGCACGAGGGCTCTTGCCTATTGTATTTTTGGTAAGTTTTATTTTTATACTATCTATATTATCTATTTTCTAAACTATGGAAAATCTTGCAAAATTTTCTTTTAAACCTCTTTCTCTCACCGGCAATAATTTTCTGACTTGGTCCCTGGATGTAGAAATGCATCTGGTTTTTATGGGCCTTGTTCATACAATTGCCAGTGAAAATGCGACTACAAGCTAAGATCGGGCTAAGGCTATTATTTTCATCCATCATTATTTGGACATTCCTCCACAATCTGAATATTTGACGGTGAAAGATCCACTAGATTTGTAGAATGAATTGAGGGAGAGATTTGGGCACTTGAAATATATCACTCTCCCCAAAGCCCGACATGATTGGCTTAACCTGCGGTTGCATGATTTTAAAACTGTTACAGAGTATAACTCTGCTATCCATCAGATACATCTATGTTGAAACTCTGCGGAGAAAATGTTACTGAGAATGATAAATTGGAGAAGACTCTCTCTACCTTTCATGCTTCGAATGTTGTGCTGCAACAGCAGTATCGCGAGAAAAATTTTCAAAAGTACTCACAGCTCATTGCATGTCTTTTATTAGCTGAGCAAAATAATGAGTTATTGATGAAAAATCATCAGTCCCGGCCCACTGGTTCCAGTCCGTTCCCTGAAGCGAACATGACATTTTCTGAACGAGGCCGAGGACGTGGTAGAGGCTGTGGACGTGGTCGCGGTCGTGAGAGTCAATGCGGTCGATATACTCCTTACAATCGCCGCAGTTTTGACGTTAACAGGATGCAGAGTAAACCCCAACATGGGGATATAGCCGAAAAGGCTAAACAGGGAAAGAGGCAAATCGGCATTTGTAACCGGTGTGACATTGAAGGCCATTGGGCTAATACCTGCAGAACAGCCAAACACCTAGCCGATCTTTATCAAGCCTCACTGCAGAAAAAGGGGAAGAAGGTCGAGACTAATCACATTGATAACGATGACGACCCCGATGATGATCTTTTGGATTGCGACACAACGCATCTTGATATAGCGGATTTTGTCGTAGATCCAGCAAACCCCCAGTGATAGACATATTATGTCATTTTACATTATGTTTTGTAATATTTAAATTATCGCATATTACCTTTTTGTAATATATTTTGTAATACTTATATCTGCCTTTATTAATACTGCGTTTACTTATATTTGAAGGTTAAATGGATGCCAATCAAAATGATGCAAATATGTGTTTCATTGACAGTGCAACGACACATACTATATTGAAACACAAAAAATATTTCTCCCATTTGAAAAGGGAAAAAATGAATGTCAATACAATAAGTGGCAGAGCGAAATTAATTGAAGGCTCTGGAGAAGCCATTATATTTCTCCCCGTGGGGACGAAAATTGTGATACAATATGCACTGTTGGCCACTAAAGCTCGAAGAAATCTACTGAGCTTTCATGACATCCGGAAAAATGGTTATCACATTGAAACTATGAGTGACGATGGTGAATTTTTATTGATCACCAATATCATTGATAAAAGGAAATGCATCATTGAGAGATTACCCTCACTCTCTGCTGGATTATATTATGCTAGATTAGGTGTTGTTGAAACATACCTCACGGTAGATCAAAAGACTACCGATTTTCAAATATGGCATGATCGCCTTGGGCATCCTGACAGTATAATGATGAGGCGAATAATTGAGAATTCGCATGGCCATTCATTAAAAGATCAAAAAGTTTTAAACTCAAATGAGTTAACATGTGTTGCCTGCACTCAAGGAAAATTGATAACCAGGCCATCGCCAGCTAAAGTAGGTATTGAATCACTTACATTTTTTGAAAGAATACACGGGGATATATATGGACCAATAGACCCACCGTGTGGGCCATTTAAATATTTTATGGTGCTTATTGATGCATCTACCAGATGGTCACATGTCTGTTTATTATCTACTCGCAATATGGCATTCGCGAGATTGCTTGCCCAAATTATTAAATTATGGGTACAATTCTCCGATAATCCAATTAAGACTATACGTCTGGATAATGCTGGTGAATATACATCGAATGCATTTGATGATTATTGCATGTCGATTGGAATTAATGTAGAGCACCCAGTTGCTCATGTTCATACACAAAATGGCCTGACAGAATCACTTATTAAAATATTGCAATTGATTTCTAGACCATTACTGATGAGGTCTATGTTGCCTGTTTCAGCTTGGGGCATGCAATCTTACATGCAGGAACACTTATAAGAATGAGGCCGACAAGCTACCATAGCTATTCCCCAATGCAGTTAGTATTTGGTCACGAACAAAATATATCTCATCTACGTATTTTCGGGTGTGCTGTTTATGTCCCTATTCTACCCCGCAAACGTACAAAAATGGGTCCTCAACGTAGATTGGGCATTTATGTCGGATATGAATCGCCGTCAATTATAAAATATCTTGAGCCTATGACGGGTGATTTATTCACTGCAAGATTTGCAGATTGTCATTTTGACGAATCATATTTTCCGACATTAGGGGAAGACAGAAATGAACCGAAAAGGGATATTAATTGGAAAATCCCATTGACTTTTTGTGATCCTCGTACAAAGTAGTGTGAACTAGAAGTTCAACGCATTATACATTTGCAAAATATTGCAAATCAGTTACCGGATGCATTCAATGACTCGAGCAAAGTCACTCGATCATATATCCAAGCTGTTAATGCTCCGGCTAAAATAATTGTCCCTGATGGACAAATTACAAGTGCTAATGAATCAACGACACGCTTAAAGCGTGGTAGACCACTCGGTTCCAAAGATAAACACCCTCGAAAGAAAAGAGGAATTAATGATGATAATCATGAAAATATCAGGAATGACATTGATAAACCTCAATCTAACGTGGAAGTCAACCCTGAAATAATTGCTCCAGAAGAGCACGATCTTGAAGAACATGATGAGATTATTGAAAACTCAATTAACTATATTACTTCAAGAAAATGTTGGAACCGTAAAAAGGCAATTATTGATAATGCTTCGCTTAAAATCTAGCACTTGATATAATGGAAGAAAACGAGGATCCAGAGCCAAAATCGGTTCATGAATGTCGGAAAAGATATGACTGGCCAAAATGGGAACATGCGATTCAATCAGAGCTTGATTCATTAAACAAAAGGGAGGTCT